ACAGCCAAAGAGCCTCTCTGGCGGCCCGTGAAAGCAGGTGTGCTTCCACTCGCTCAGGAAGGCAGAACAGGAACATAATGCAGTGCAGCGGCCCCTGCCCCTGCCAGGTCATGCCACACGCACAAGTTCTGAGCGAGCGTCCCAGAGCCCTTCATGGGGAACGGGCCTTGGCAACAACTGCCAGGCACATGCAGCAAATCTGCTCTGAAACCAGGAAGGGCACTGCAGGCTCTTTGTGACTCAGGAGGCCCAAGAAGGGGTCCTCAGCTTTTCCTCACTCCTCCCATGTGATGCTGAGGATAAGGAACTGGGGGACACTATGCCCTAAGATGACCTCCACATGGCAAAGTATCAGGCCATAGAACTCACTGCAGAGACTGTGGCAGAAGCAGACCCACAGCTCTTCCCCAGAAGCCCTCAAGATTTTGTCAGCGACAAAGCCCAAGTTTCCCAAGCACACTGATGCACAGATGCCATGGGCACCAGACTACATGGCTCATCTCAGGTGGGGGCTCGGATGTGCGTGAGTTAAGCTGCTCCAGGGAGGGTGACTGCTTAGGAATCTAAGATCCATCCAGCTGCTTTCCTCATTCTGACCAGTCCAGGGGGGTGCTAGCTCCAGGGACAGCAACAGCAGGAGCAACCCAGGGCCTCTGCCACCTCCATGCATCTGTGAGCAGCGTGCTGCTCAGAGACGGAGCAGGAGAGGTGAAGAGGAGGCAGGCCAGGTCACATGCAGGAGGGCGCCAGGCTCCACCCACCAGAGAAGGACTGCTTGTTCATGCTCTGGAGGAGGTGGGTGAACAGGGGGTGGGGGGGCAAGCAAAGGAGGCTCCAGGCCACCCCTTCATGGGAAAGCACAATGGTACTGCTGATAGTCAAGGAAACAGACGAGAACATAGCTCCCAAAGGAACCGCAGCTTCCCCCGCTCCCAGAGCAAGAGTACCACAACCTCATCTGTTCCTGCTGCCAGGGAGGGGGCTCATGAAGCTACACAGGGAGGGCCCGGGAGAGGCCAGACCTCCAGGCCTCAGGTGTCCACACATCAGGCTGCAACACCCTCTGTCCGCCACCAGGAAGTAGAGAAAGATGTCCACCTTTTATTCGGCTTCTGAGTGACAGGTGGGTGATGGTTTCTGCTTCCCACCATGCAGCCTGTGAAAACTCACTCAGAGGCAGGATAAGAACCAGCAGGCTGAGCAGAGTCAGAAGCAGGAGGTGGGAAGAAAAACTGTGCAAACATACCTTGGCATGTGGGGACTGCATTTTTGGTACATCTCCAAGGAATAGTGGTGAAGCCACATTTCAACAAAAACCTGCAAAAAAAAGCATTAGCTAGTCAAACCATTCTTGACAACAGTGCCAGACCATTCAGTGGGGAAAGGACAGTGTCTCCAACAAGCAGAGCTGGGAACACAGAATATCCACTTGCACAACAGTGAGGCTGGGCCCTTCCCTCACACCCTCGCCAAAAAATAACTCAAAGTGGGTAAATGACTTGAGGATAGAAACTAAAACCTTCATTCTCAGAAGAAAACATGGGAGAAAGCTTCATACCCTGGATTTGGCAATGACTAATTAGATATAACACTCAAAGCATAGTAACTAGACTTTATCAAAATCAACACTCTTGAGCATCAAAAGATACTACTGGTAAAGAAAAAAGGCAACCAGCAGGCACGGTGGCTCAGCCCAGTCATCCCAGCGCTTTGGGAGGCTAAGGTGGATAGACCACTTGAGGCCAGAAGTTCAAGACCAGTGAACATCTGTCTCTATAAAAATAGAAAAATTAGCTGGGTATGGTAGGGCACACCTCTAGTCCCAGTTACTTGGGAGTATGAGGTGGGAGGACCGCTTGAGCCCAGGAGTTTGAGGCTGCAGTGAGACGAGATTGCGCCACTGCACTCCAGCCTGGCAACAGAATTAGACCGCTTTGAAGAAAAAGAAAGCGGGGGCTGGGCACAGTGGCTCATGCATGTAATCCCAGCACTTTGGTAGGCTGAGGTGGATGGACCATCTGAGGTTGGGAGTTCGAGACCGGCCTGACCAACATGTAGAAACTACCATCTCTGCTAAAAATACAAAATCAGCCAGGTGTGGTGGCGCATGCCTATAATCGCAGCTTAGCTACTTGGGAGGCTGAGGCAGGATAATCACTTGAAACCAGGAGGCGGAGGTTGCAGTGAGCCAAGAGCATGCCATGGCACTTCAGCCTGAGCAACTCCTCAAAGAAGACGAAACTCCGTCTCAAAAAAAAAGCAACTCAAGTGTCTACTGAGAGCTGAATAAATAAACACAATGTGGTACATCCATACAATGGAACACTCTTCAGCCTTGAAAAGCAAGGAAATTCTGACACATGCTGTAACGTCGATCAATCTTTAGTCCATTATGCTATGTGAAGCACACTAGTCACACACAAATAAGTACTGTGTGCTACAGATAAACACTCTAGGCATGAGATCTAGGAGTCAAATCCATAGGAACAGAAAGCAGAATTGTGGTTGCCAGGGCCTGGGTAGGGAACTGTTTAATACGTTTTTTTTTTGTTTGTTTTTTTTAATTAAAAGAGATGGAGTCTCACTTTGTTGGCCAGGCTGGTGTTGAACTCCTGGCCTCAACTAATCCTTCCCTGCTTGGCCTCCCAAAGCACTAAGATTACAGGTGTGAGGCCCCTGTGGCCAGGCTGATTTAGTTTCAGTTTTGCAAGATGAAAAGCATTCTGGAGATTAGATGTACAACTATGTGAATGTATTTAACACTACTGACTATACACTTGGAAATGGTTAAGACGGTAAATTTTATGTCATGTATACTTTATAATTAAAATGTTCTTAATTAAAAAAAATAAAAAGGGCCAAGTGCAGGGGCTCACATCTGTCATCCAAGCCCTTTGGGAGGCCGAGGTAAGTGAATCACTTGAGGTCAGGAGTTTGAGACCAGCCTGGCCAACATGGTGAAATCCTGTCTCTGTTAAAAATGCAAAAATTAGCTGAGTGTGGCAGCAGTTGTCTGTAATCCTAGCTACTCAGCAGGCTGAGGCAGGAGAATCACTTAAACCTGAGAGGTGGAGGTTGCAGTGAGCCAAGATTGTGCCACTGCACTCCAGCCTGGGCAACAGAGGGAGATTCCATCTCAAAAAAAAAAAAAAAAATTAATGCTTTGATCCAGGAAACAGCAGAACCTTCCAGTTCTGCCCTATAAGCCTGTTTCATGGTCTCCTGCCCTCTTCATGGCCAGCAGAGCCCACAGTCCACACAGCCAAGAGCCATCTGGGCATCATGGTCCCCTCTGTGAACAGGGGCAATGGTTCTTACCATTCCACACCCCCAAGAATGCTGTGAAATGGCGTGGAGGTTTCAAAAACTGCAGCACCCCACATACTAGGAATTATATACAAGGTGGGAGATAAAATGCTGTCTTATCTACATGACAGGCTGTCAACAGTGAGGCCGTGGCTATCAAGTCAACCCCAGGATCCAGTGTCAGAAGCAGCACCTGCCAAATCTCTCTGAGGTGTGCCGAGAAGACACAGCCAGGACCTGGGAATTGGCCAGCACTCAGGATGCAAGCCAGCCCATACCATGCTGAGAGGCTGGAGCCTCTCTGGGCAGACAAGGGAATCTGTCAACTACTACTTGGATCCCCTGAATCAATGGGAGGCCTGTGGAGGCTGCACAGACCCCTCACCATTCAGTGTCATACAAATGCTACTGGGGCGGGGCTTAATATCTACATGACGGTAATTGCAGAAAACACCTCCAACCACATGGTAGATGGAAACCAAAAGACTGCAACAATTACATTACCACAGGCAAAATGAAACAACTCCTATGGACAAGGGATCCTGGGATGAAAAACACCATCAATTAAATATAAGTTAGAAGGGTGGGCAGATTTATTTTCATGTTTTCTAAATGTCATAGCAGGGCAATACCAACCATTTAGAATCAGCCCCAGGCTGAGGGGCCATCTCTGGGACTCTGTCCCACATAATGGAAGTGGCTGAACAGTTTCTTTTCTTCTTCTTCTTTTTTTTTTAAATTAAGACAGCCTCACCATCTTGGCCAGGCTGGTCTTGACCTCAGGTGATCCACCTGCCTCGGCCTCCCAAAGTGCTGAGATTACAGTCGTGAGCCACCACGCCCAGCCAACAGTTTCTTTTTTTTTTGAGATACAGTCTAGTTCTGTCACCCAGGATGGTGTGCACTGGTGCGATCTCAGCTCACTGCAGCCTCTGCCTCCCGGGTTCAAGTGATTCTCCTTCCTCAGCCTCCAAAATAGCTGGGACTACAGTCATGCACTACCATGCAGGGCTAGTTTTTGTATTTTTAGTGGAGATGAGGTTTCACCATGTTGGCCAGGCTGGACTCAAACTCCTGACCTTAGGTGATCTGCCCACCTCAGCCTCCCAAAGTGCTGGGATTATAGGCATGAGCCCAGCTGGTTAAACAGTTTCTTTTGACCAGCTCAACTCTCACCTGGAGCAGAGTTTCCCATCTCCAGATCTCACGGGAGGCTGGGTCTGCATTCATAGACGTCTGATGAGAGACGTGTCGCTTCAGGAGGCTAGTGTGGTGGAGGCCATAGGAAGCAAAGGGCATGGCTGGTGTCCTGAGGGACACACAGAAACAGGCCCGAGTTAGGGGGTCCCGCTGGCCTAGCCAGGGACAATCTGGATAACAAAATCAATGATAGCAGGAACAGATTACAACTTGCTCAATGGCACAATGCCCACCCCTCACCACCCTCTGATCCACACTAACATACCTGAATAAATAAACAGCAAAGAGAACAGTCTTCCTTACCACAGAGTGACCACTGACCCACTAATCAATGAAGGAGGGATGAAGTTAGAGAACCACCATTTGGCAACTGTCCTATTAATAGCTGATTTGGTCAAGAATCAACAGTGAGGTGAGGCATGGGGGCTCGTACCTGTAATCCCAGCACTTTGGGAAACCAAGACAGGAGGATTTCTTGAGGCCAGGCATTTGAGACCAGCCTAAGCAATAAAAAGAGACCCCGTCTCTACAAAAATATTGAAACATAAAATAGCTGGGCATGGTGGCATGTGCCTATAGTCCTAGCTACTTAGAAGGCTGAGGGAGAATGGCCGGGGCCAGGAGTTGAGGCTACAATGACATATGATTCTGCAACTGCACTCCAGCCTGGGGTGACAGAGTGAGACCCTGTCTCTAAAAGAAATAGGAAATTTCCAGCCTGGGCAATATGGTAAAATCCTGTCTCTACAAAAATTAGCCAAGTGTAGTAATGCCTGCTTGTAGTCCTAGATACCTGGGGGGCTGAGATGGGAGGATGACTTGAGCCCAGGAGGTTGAGGCTGCTATAAGCAGAGATTGCACCACTGAACTCCAGGCTGGGGTGAGAGAACAGACCCTGTCTCAAAATAAAATAAAATCAATTTGAAACACAGGGAGAATCAACAGTGGATGTTAACACTAGTGGTAATTACATAGTCTTCATACATCTTCCTAGTAAATTCTTGTTATCAATCTTTTTTTCTTTTTTTGAGGCAGAATCTTATTCTGTTGCCCAGGATGGAGTGCAATGATGCAATCACAGCAACCTCAACCTCCTAGACTTAGGCCTCCCAAGTAGCTGGGACCAACACCACCACGCCTAGATCACGTTTTTCTTTTTAGCAGAATCAAGGTTGTGCTATGTTGCCCAGGCACTCATTACTACTTTTTATGTTTTTTTGTTTTTTTTTTTTTGAGGTAAGGTCTGACTCTGTAGCCCAGGCTGGAGTACAATGCATGATCTTGGCTCACTGCCACCTCTGCCTCCTGGGTGCAAGCAATCCTCCCACCTCAGCCTCCCAAGTAGCTGGGATCACAGGTACACACGAGCACACCTGGCTAATTTTTAAATTTTTGGGAGAGATGGGGTTTTGCTATGTTGCCAGGGCTCGTCTCACACTCCTGAGCTCCAGTGATCCACCCACCTAAGCCTCCCAAAGTGCTGGGATTACAGGCATGAGCCACTGCCTGGCCTCAATACTATTTAATCTAGGCAGAAAGTACTTATTTTACAGTGGAAAGACCTGGCTGACACCTTTTCTGCCCAGTGATGAAGGGCACCTGGCAAGGACCAGGTGTCCCACTGCAGTGGTCCTACCAACAAAGCCCAAAAGCTGGGCCTAGTCACCAGCAAGTATCAGACAGCTTAAGGGGTAGCCGCATGCTTTGGACAGGTCAAGGTCAGAAAAGACAGAAAGGCTAAGGGACCATTCCTGACTGAAGGGGACTAGAAACATCACTGCACACAGTAGGTGAGCCTGTGCTGGACCCCGGCCAGCTAATGGGCAAGAGTGGGGTACCTGGTGGTGAACCCCAAGTGGGGTCTGATGACTAGGTGGCAATACTAACTTTCTGGTGTGGTTATAGGCACTGTGACTACATAGGATAATGCATTTGCTTCTAGGAAATACACTGAAATGTTAAGAGATCGAGGGATGTCATATCCTGTAGCTTACTCATATTGGCTTAGGGAAAAAACACATACAATAAACGTAGAATAAAACAGATGCAACAAAATGTTAACAATTTGGAAATCTGGGGGAAGGGTCTATGAAAGTTCTTTTCTCTGAGGCAGGATCTTGTTCGTTACCCCAGGCTAGAGTGCAGCAGCACACTCACAGCTCATTAAACTCCTAGGCACAGTGATCCTCCCATTTCAAGTCTTCTGAGTAGCTGGGACCATAGCTGCACATCACCACACTTGGCTAATTTTATTTTTTATAGAAATGAGGTCTCCCTATGTTGCCCAAACTGGTGTGGCATTCCTGGCCTCAAGTGACCCTCCTGCACTGGCCTCCAAAAGTGCTGGGATTACAGGTGTAAGCCACCATGCTCAGTTTGCAAGTTATTTTTATTATGCGGGGAAGTTTTTCTGTAAGTCTGAAGTTATTTCAAAATAAAAAGTTAGGTGTGGTAGCTTGCACCTGTTTAATTCCAGCTACATGGGAAGCTGAGGCAGGAAGATTGCTGAGGCTAGGCGTTCAAGAACAGCCTGGGCAACAGAGCAAGGCATCCCCATCTCTGCCAAAAAAAAAAATTTTTCTTTAAATTAGCTGGCTGTGGTGATGCATGCCTGTAGTCACTGAGATGACAGGATGGCCTGAGTGGTGACTGTGCCACCAAGTTATAACTGTCACACTCCAGCCTGTGTGACAGAGTAAGACCGTCTTTAAAAAATATAATGGCTAGGCCAGGCGTGGTGGCTCACACCTGTAATCCCAACACTTTAGGAGGCTGAGGCAGGCAGAACACTTGTGGTCAGGAGTCTGAGACCAGCCTGGCCAACATGGTGAAACCCTGTCTCTAACTAAAAATACAAAAATTAGCTGGGCATGGTATAGCTGTAGTCCCAGCTACTCAGGGGGCTGAGCCAGGAAAATCGCTTGAAGCAGAGACAGCACCACTATACTCCAGCCTGGGTGACAGTGAAACTCTGTCTCAAATAAAACAAAAAACAAATAAAATAAAAAACCCACAATGGCTGAGTGTGGTGGTTCATGCCTGTAATCCCTCCATTTTGGGAAGCTGAGGCAGGAGGATCACTTTTGAGTCCAGGAGTTCTAGAACAGCCTGGGCAACAAAGCAAGAACCATCTTACAAAAAATAAAAGCTGGGTGTGGGGATGTATGCCTATAGTACCAGCTACTTGAGAAGCTGAAGTGGGAGGATCACTTGAGCTCAGGAGGTCAATATTGCAGTGAGCTGTGATCACAACACTGCACTCCAGCCTGAACTCTGTCTCAAAAAACAAACAAAAAAAACAAAAGGCAATTATATATATTTCTTAAGGGGGGGTAAGAGGGGGAGATAAGCATCTCACTCTATTGCCCAGGCTGGAGTATCATGGCACAATCTCGGCTCACTGCAACCTCCACGTCTCAGGTTCAAGCAATTCTCCTGCCTCAGCCTCCCCAGTAGCTGGGATTATAGGTGTTCACCACCACGCCCAGCTAATTTTTGTATCTTTGGTAGAGGCGGGGTTTCACCATGTTGGCCAGGCTGGCCTCGAACTTCTGGCCTCAGGCGATCCACCCACCTCAGCCTCCCAAAGTGATGGGATTACAGGCATGAGCCAATTTGCCCAGCCTATATTATTTCTAAAAGAAAAACAAAACAAAACAAAAAAACCCAAAAAGTTAAAACAAGCAAAAAAGCCAGGCATAAAAAAATCACTGTGCAGCTGAATTCTGCATCTGACAAGGTGGGAATCCACTTAACCTCCATGTCCTCCACAGGATCAGCAACATTTCAGGGTCACTGATCACTGTCACCGCCTGGGAAGCCTCTCCTCCCTGCCGATCCCTTTTTCCCCTCCACTCTCTGGGGCATCTGTCCACACATGTGAATTATAGGCAGAGGCCTGGCCTGGCCTGGCTTGCACATGCCAGCAGATCTGGGGTGGGCCAGCATCTGCAGGAAGGGGCCTACATGCAGTCTCCTGGGAAGGTGATGGGCCAGCGAGATTAAGGAGGGTCAGAGGAGCACAGGCAGCTGCTGCTGGGACAAGAGGGTCTCCTGGGAAGTCAGCCAAGAGGGCCTGGGTTAGGGCCCAACGAGGCCCCAGCACAGCCAGGCATGAAAGCCCCTGGTTCATACTCCCCACCTGTGCAATCCGGAATCAGACTCAGCCTGTTTGGGATGGCACAACAGGCTCTTTGGCCCAGGGCCTCCCCCTCAAAACCTGCTCCTGGGTCCGACAGAGAATTCCATTTTTTTGGCTCATAGGACAACACTTCCACCCTGCTCGTTGCCTCAGCCACCGCCTGAGGGGAGTGCTGCTCGATGCAGAGCACAGCCTATTCCCATGCAGGCCATGGAGGCCTCCAGAGACCTGACAGCTTCAGTGATGGCCACAGACACCTAAAACTAAAGGACAGATCATCCTCCACATCCCACCCTCCAGTCTGTGCTAAGACAGCTAGGAATGGGAAATGAGGCATAAGAAAAATTGGGGCACCCTGGACAAAGGATAGCACCACTGTCCCTGTGAACAGTGCAACTGACTGGGCCACTCCCTTATGGAAGGGCCAGGTCTTAACAAAGGGCAGCCTTACCTGGGAGGTGGTGAGGGGCTGGCACCCCCTGGGCTGGAGGAGAGTGGTGGGGGACACTGCCTTCGGTGGGCAGGAACCATGACAGGTACCTGTCCACCAGGATGAAATAGGCACAGTCTAAAGTACGGACGTGGAGGGACACAGGTAGTGGCTGGAAAACCAAGCTAGTTGTTAGCAAAGGCTCTGGACACTGCCTGGCGGCCGAGCACTGGCAAGTGCAGGAAGTCCAGGGCCGTGGCCCCACCCCTCCCAGGAAGAGACATCCCTTCCCTACCTTCTGAGTGATGAGGCTCAAGGCAAAGAAGAATATGTAATACTCGAACGGATCTGATGGCAGCGTCAGGGGCAAACATGCAGGGTTGCTGAGCCATCCCCACCCCCAGCGTCGAGTGCTGGGGCCACCCACAGTCTCCCTACCTCAGGGCCACCAAAGGATACTCAGGGCAAGGTTTTCAGGCCAAGGCCCCCAGCAGGGGTGAACTGGACTTTGTTGTGGTACAGAGGACTGTCAGGGAGGACACACTCCTGGATGGATGCCTTCACAGGACCCTGCAGAGAGAGGCAGTGGGGCTTGTGGGCAGGCGCTGTTGCATAATGCCTGATATGTGGTGCCCCACATGCACAGCAGCCCTTCGGGAAGGCTGCTGGAGAAGAGACCTGCATACAGAACCCACCTGTGGGGATAGTGCCCTGCCACTGAGAAGTGCCTAAACAAGAGTCTTTGCTTAAAACTTCTCCTACCATCTCATAAAAAGCTTCAGACGACAAAGGTAGTGGCCATGCAATACCCATCTCCTTTGTGTCTCATCCCGGAGCAACTCATTCCTGAATTTGCCCTCAGAGGACTGGAGGAGAATACCCATCACTGCAGGGCTGTGCAAGGCCCACTGCCCTGAGCACCACTCTCGCCTCTGTGTTCTACTTACAGGCAGGTAGGAGACTGGAAAGTCAAACTTATAGTCTTCAGCTTGAAGCTTATAAACCGACTTCATCATTGGGCCACTGAAGATGAAATTGAACAAACAAACAAAAACAGGGCAAATGAACTGCAAATTATCTTGCTTTGATTGTTTCTTAACGTTAAGAAATTGAGAGAGTGACTTAAAAGTGGAATCGCCATGAGGAAGCACCCAGCCTCTCTCAGGCGACAAACCTACCTACCCAGGGTCAAGAAATTCCATCGCGATGCTGTACTCCACAGGACTCACATGCCCCTGTAAGCAGCGGAGGTTCAAGCCAATGAGGACACCATCTAAGCTGCCAAAAATGTTCTCTACCAGCCATGGGAAGATGGTGTGCAGCTCCTGAAACAGTGTGCGGAAAAGCTGTGGGCAGGACCAGTGCCCATTCCTGCTCCAGCTCCAATCATGTACCACCTGCTACCCAGCTCCCTCTGAGGAGGCCACTCCCTGGCTTAGACTCAGGGGATCAGCCCTGTACCCAAAGGAACCCTGGTGCCATGGTGCCAACAAGAAGAGCAGCTTTGGGTTCTTCCAGTGGGATGCATGGCATATGTCGGCCTCCAATCAAAATACATCTTTTGTGTGTGTTAGAAGACTAAATTAAAAAAACAAACAAACAAAAAAATCAACATAAACAATGAAGAAAGTAAAAAATGTAAAAAAAAAAAAAAGCATGTTTTTTTGCAACAGAGTCTCACTCTGTTGCCCTGGCTGGAGTGCAGTGGTGCAATCAGGGCTCACTTCAGCCTTGACCTCCTGGGCTCAAGCAATGCTCCCACCTCAGCCTTCCGAGTACCTGAGACAATAGTCTCACACCACCACGCTCAGCTAATTTTTAAATTTCTTGTACAGACAGGGTCTCAGTATGTTGCCTAGAGTGGTCTCGAGCTCCTGGGCTTAAGTGATCCTCCCACCTTGGCGTCCCAAAGAGTTGGGATTACAGGCATGAGCCACCACACCAAAAGATTCTTTAAAACAATGTTGGAAACTTCTGACTTGAACGATGTTCCATCAAAGAAAAGCAACATCCTTCCCAGCGTGAAGACCCTGAAACGTAGCCGACCTGTTGCCATTTGCTATTAACTCCTTGTCTAGGCCCACTACCTGGGCTTGACAATTCCAGAAGTGATTTAAATACATATTTTTAGCAATCTCAGCCTTGGTGCTATTGCCATTTTGGGCTGGTTACTTTGTTGTAGGGAGCTGTCCTGTGCTCTGCAGGATGTTTCCAGCATTCCTGACCTCTACTTCCCAGATGCCAGTAGCATACACTCCCCATCCACCCCCAGATATGACAACCAAAAATGTCTCTGACATTGCCAAATGTCCCCCGAGGGACAGAGCACCTGCGGTTGAGAACCCCTGATCTACAAGTTCAGATGTTTAAATGTGTCCATAAACATAATGGTCACAATAATGCCTCTGTGCCAGGCAGCGATCAGGGCCGGGTGGCAGGGGTTGGGGGGGTTGGGAGGGGTGGAGAAATAGGAATTACAGTAAAGTTCTTCAAGGAATGTATAAGACATGCTGCAAAAAGAGACATTAGCAAAGCTATACCTTTGCTGGAAAATCCTCAATGACTTTAACCAAGTCTTGGCACTGCTGTGGAAAGGGCTTATTTATAGAATCAGCTTTCAGGCTAGCCTAGAAGACAGAACAAAGCAAAAAAATCATGAAGGCATTCACTATGCAGCTTTTAGTGTTACCCTGTATTGAGTCAAACAGAAATCCAAGCAACAGGTTATGAGTCAGGCACATAACCACTGGCCTCACTCCCCAGCCCCTCACGTGTGTCAGTGGCCCAAAGAATGCTACTAGGAAAAGCTGTGGTTCTGTGCTCTCTGGACCAGGAACTCTCAGGCTTGTTTCCCAGTACCCCCTCAGAGTGCTGCACGTCATCAGAACAGGACTGACTTACACCGACCCTTAAGTAGGGATTGGCCCCAGGGTCAGCCCCAAAACCAGAAGAGGATCTCAACTGTGTACGGGCAACTGTCACAGACCACAGAGTACCGCTGTGTCTGTATGCATCAAATAAAAATTTCCCGCCTGATGGACCACAGTGATTACACTGTTGTGACCATCAGTAAGAATGCCCAACAACATCAGGGCTATGGCAGAAGCTCTTAAACAAGCTGTGCTTTATTCAGTAAACAGTGAACCTACTAAACGACTGACCTTAAACACGGGGCAGGCAAATAATAGCTTTAGCCAAGTAGACACTAATCACAAAGGCAATGGAGGGGCCAGAAAAGACTCAGGACAAGGACTAATGAGATCTACCCACAGTCACGGGATGTGAGGAAAGCACCCTGATGACAAGGAGAAAAGGGGCGTCTGTACAAATGGATTAAGATCAGGAGAAACTGCTAGAATTTCAATGTAGATAGCTTTGCCAAAGGATATCTAAGGCCTTGTCTACCTCCATATGAGGGTGGATTTCACAGGGCTTGAGACAGAGATGGAGGCTTACGCTGTCTGGCCAGGCCTGTTGGCTTCAGTGGGGTGCACTAAGGAAGAATGTCCTTCCACATAAATGTTCACAAAAACACCTCCTAAGAACTAAAATTAGGAACTTCCATCACCAATACTTACCTCATACCTAACTTCAAACTTCTCAATAAGTTTTCAGTATCATTTTTTCTTCCTTTTGAGTCTTTACTATGTTGCCCAGACTGGTCTCAAACTCCTGGGCTCAAGTAATCCTCCGGCCTCAGTCTCCTCAGTAGCTGAAACTCCAGGCATAAGCCATTGGACCCAGTTCTCAGCATCATGTTTAATACTTAAAGTGCAAACCTAGCAGCCCCCAGCACAACTGTCTCCACTTTTCACTGATGACAGTTATGATCATTAGAATGCTTCATATCTATTCAAGAATGTACAGGTGATGAACAGTCTGATATACATCCTTCTCACTTGCTCCTCTTCCTCCTCATACCCTTGGGAAGTTGAGAAAATAGCATTTGAATAAACTTGTCTTGAGACTGAATAACTCCAAGTTCTTTAGTATTAAGGAGGCATAGTCAAGCTTAAGTTGTCTGGCATTGTTGACACCACATGCCCCTGAAAAACAACCACTACAGAGCTCTTCAAATCAGTGGGAAGAACACTCAAGTCCCACAGCTACAGAACTATGGCCACACTGACACTCGTGCAGGTGGCTGATATTTACCAGTAGAAAGCTGGGCTGCTGCAGGTGAGGGAATGCCATAGCAGCCTCCAGTGGAGAGTCGAAAATGGCCTTCTTAGCAAACCACTGTGGAAAAACAAAGATGAAATCTTAACATCTGCAACACAGAAGAATCTTTCCATTTTATTTTTTTACAGACGGTCTCATTTTGTTGCCCAAGCACAATGCAGCAGCACAATCACAGCTTACTGCAATCTCAAACTCCTGAGTTCAAGCAATCCTCCCACCTCAGCCTCCTGAGTAGCTGGGACTACAGGTACGCACCACCACGCCTGGTTAATTTTCTTTTTTGTTTTTTGTCGAGACAGGGTCTGGCTATGTTGTCCAGGCTAGTTTCAAGTCCTAGCCTCCACGGATCCTCCTGTGTTGACCTCCTAAATGTTGAGGTTACAGGTGTGAGCCACTGCACCTGGCCCTAACAAAATATTACATAGTTTCACAATGCCCACGAGAACATCTGTGTAACACGACACACATTACATTACCAATTCTCATGTCTTTCTTACTTATTTATTTGAGACAGGGTCTTGCTTTGTTGCTCAGGCTGGAGTGCAGTGGTGTGATCATAGCCCACTGCAACCTCAATCTCCTGAGCTCAAGTGACCTTCCTGCATCAGCCTCCCAAGTAGCTAGGACTATAGGCACACACCACCAGGCCCAGATACTTTTTGTATTTTCTGTAAAGATGGGGTTTCATCATGTTGCTCAGACTGCTCTTGAACTCTCGGACTCAGGCCATCTACACGCCTCAGCCTCCCAAAGTGCAGGGATTACAAGTGTGAGCCACCACACCCAGCCAGCAATTCCGATGTTTTATAGAACACTATTCTTGGCCAGGCACAGTGACTCATGCCTGTAATCCTAGCACTTTAGGAGGCCCAGGCAGGCGGATCACCAGAGGTCAGGAGTTCAAGACCAGCCTGGTCAACATGGTAAAACCCCGTCTCTACTAACATACAAAAATTAGCCAGGCACAATGGTGGGTACCTATAATCCCAGCTATTTGGGAGGCTGAGACAGGAGAATCGCTTGAACCCAAGAGACAGTGGTTGCAGTGAGCCAAGATCGCATTACTACACTCCAGCCTGGGTGACTGAAGGAAGACTCCATTTAAAAAAGAAAAAAAAAAAATTGATCATGGATACTTCGAACGCACTTGCAGCCCCAGGTTCTTCCCGGGGCTACTCTTAAAAAAAAACGAAACACTGTTCTCATGCAGCCCACAGTGGCCAACTTCAGAGCCAAGTTTGTGGTGCTAAATCCTTGGCAATGCTTGTACAGCATTTGTTACACACCAGGACTCGCTCTAAAGGCTCTCTGTATATCTCCTCATTTAATCCTCAGTGGTAGGCAGAACTCTAAAGATAGCCCCAAGATTCCTGACCCCTGGCTGTTCAATCAAATACTCATCTAGGTACTGCTATGACAGCATTCTGCAGATACAATTAGAGTCCTAGTTAGTGGATCTTAAGTTAGAGAGTAGCCCCCAGCCGACAGCCAGCAAGAAAACCGAGACCTCAGTTCTACAACTCCAAGGAACTGGATTCTGCCCTCAACCTAAATAAACCTGGAAGCAGCTTCTTTGCTCCAGATAACAGCAAAGCTGCCAACACCTTGAATTCAGTCTTGTGATACACAGCTGAGCCTGCCTGGACTTATGCATACGTAACTATGAGATAATAAACGAGTGTTGGTTTAAGCTGCTAAGTTTGTCATATAAAAATAGAAAAACCATCTTCACAACAACACTATGGGTACAGATGTACAATGAGTGCATGTCTGTAAAGATGAGGAAAGAGAGGCAGAAATGGGAAAAGTCACTTACTCCCACCCAGCTAGTAAGTGGCAGAACCAAGATTCCAATACAAAGACGGCCTCGCGAAACTCTCTGGGACAGGGCAAAATCCCTGCATATTACCTTTGCACTATGCAATGAATGGAGGAGAAGAGCAAGCTCTGCCAAGGGAGCCTTTGAATGAGTCATCAGAAAACTACAATCAAAGGCCAGTGGCGGTGGCTCACGCCTGTAAACCCAGCACTTTAGGAGGCTGTAGCAGGTGGATCACTTGAGGCCAGGAGTTCAAGACCAGCCTGGCTAACATGGCAAATCCCCATCTCTACTAAAAATACAAAAATTATCCAGGTGTGGTGGCAGGTGCCTGTAGTCCCAGTGACTTGGGAGGCTGAGGCACAAGAAACGCTTGAGCCCAGGAGATGGAGGTTGCAGTGAGCCAAGATCCCACCACTGCACTTTAGCCGGGGTGACAGAGGGAAACTCTGTCTCAAAAAAATGAAAACAAAACAAAACAAAACAAAAAACTAGGATTAGCTTTCCAGATTCCTATCTCTCCGTCCACCCAGATCAAAAATGAAAAATGCTCAGACCTAGACTTCGCAGAGGAAGTCTGCCAAGTCCCAGTGGTGAGCTACGTACAGTTTTCCTGGCCCAGCTCTGCCTACTGCACAAGTAAAGGCACTGGGGTGGCACCTGGCAGTCTGTGGAGGGGGAGAGGCTGGGTTTAAGAAGGCTGTGTAGGCAGTTGTAGTGTGAGAGGAAACAGGAATCTCTGCCACTTGGCAATAGGAACATCTCCCAAGTTTTTTACTTATTTATTTTTTGAGACAGAGTCTCACTCCTTCATCTCATTGCAACCTCCACCTCCAAAGTTCAAACAATTCTCGTGGCTCAGGCTCCTGAGTACCTAGGACTACAGGTGCCTGCCACCATGGCAGGCTAATTTTCCTATTTTTAGTAGAGGCAGGTTTCCCTGTGGTGGCCAGGTTGGTCTCAAATTCCTGGCCTCAAGTGATCCGCCACCTAGGCCTTCCAAAGTATAGGCTTTTTCAATTCTTAACCTAGCTATCCATTTCAGTGTTAAAGAAAATTTTAAAGCCTCAGTCCTAAGACACTTGGTCAAGAAAACATCCAAAATGATCAGAGCAGCATAAAACTGGACTGTTGGATAAACACAGAGTTTTAGAGGTGATGACGTGAAAGCATCTCTGCTCAGAAGCTTTCATGGGCAGCAACGGAAAGAGTGAGGCCCAGAGGAACTTCCAGGACATTTCCAAGAGAGGAAATTCAAACCCGGGAATTCCAAGAGGTGTCTCGCACGCTCTGGTTCTGATTCTGCCATAGTCCCCCTCGCCCATCAAGGTCTTTGAGTGCCCTGCACTTAGCGTCCGCTTCATCTGGCCTCTTCAACACCTATTTTCTCCAAGAGCTGCTTCGGACCCCGTTTGGTTTCTTTCTTTTTTTTTTTTTTCCTGAGTGTGACAGCTCTTAGGCAACGCCAATCGATCCAAGCCAATTCTGTCGTTGCCAAGACCTCCCTCAGCAGCATGACCCCACTTGTTGTGCCCAACTCTCCTGCCAATTGGGCATCGGGTCCCTATTACAGCTGAGGAAACCCAGGCTTGGAGATGTCGAGGACACAGTAAGGGTCGAGCAGAGACCCACATCCGGCTCTTCCTCCCACACCGCCTGTTGAGACCAAGGCTCAACTTCAACACAAAACTCTCCTTCCCTCAATTCCTTTAATGAACGTTAACCTTCAACGAGCAGTGTCTCGTACCCTACCGAGACAGAGTGTACAAGTCGCGCTGGAAGGTAGCACAAAGACATGGCCCAGGAGGGTAGCAGGAAGACTCAGCCGGGGCCCTCGCCTCCCCAGCCCGCCCGGCCTGGGTAGAGAAGCCGGGGCCGGCCCGAGTCCTGGGGCTCGCGGAGGAACGGAGACGGCCTCCCCAGGGACTCGGGGAAGCCGCCGGGGCGCGGGACCGTTTCAAGCGCGCCTCCCGCGCCACTCACCACCTGTGGTACCCACAGCATTGACCGCGTTAGAGCCGGAAGCCGCCATTCCGCCACGGCGCCGCAATGTCGTCATCAAGCTGCGCACAGGAGCCACGCCCCGCGGCCAGGCGGGAAAAGCGTCTCTACCACTTTGGGTAGCTACCTCAAAAGGCGCCTGCGCAAAGTGAAGGCCGGCCGGGCGTGAGGGGAAGCAGGGAGGGAGGAGGTGTGGGGAAGTGGAGGTAATGCGCCTGCGTAGTGGCGGCCTCCGGCCTCTGACGGTTAGGCTCAGGCACAGCAAGGAGAGCGCATGCGCATAAGCAGAGTGGTTGAATAGGGCCCCACCCGAGGAGCGCTCCCTAGCGCGGCACCTGCGCGGACCAGAAAATTGCAGGCTTTCTTGTACCAGGCATTTACTGAGCGCCCAGTGTATGCCACCTAAGTGAGCACGACCAATGTAGTCTATCAGGGAGGCCCTGACCGCCAAGCCCTGGGCCCCTGCGGTCCATCAGGCCACCCCCGACACCTAGCACGCCGCCCAGCACACCGTAGGCGCCCAATAACTGTTGTGCTCGAATGACGGCCGCGGAGGCCCGGCGCTAGCGCTACAGGGAGAGGGTGGCGGGCGCCTCCTCTAGGGGACGCGACGCGGGCGCGGCGAGGCGGGGCGCACCTTCACGCTGGCGGTGCGGATGGCGGCGCAAGGCGCAGGGCCAGGGCCGGGGTCGGCTGCGTCCCCGGGGCTGGAGGTGGCCCGGCAGAAGCTGGCGCTGCGGCGGAAGAAGGTGCTGAGCGCCGAGGAGATGGAGCTTTACGAACTGGCGCAGGCAGCGGGCGGCGCCATCGACCCCGATGTGTTCAGGTGAGTGGGGCGGGTGGGGGTCGCACGCTCGCCCATCACCCCGACCTCTGCTCTGGAGATCCGCCGAGCCCGCTGGTCTGGAGGAACCCCCAGTCCTTGTCGTTTCTTCAGGGAGGTGGCCGCCCCGGGCGGGGGGGCTCACCGGCCCTGCGTTTGTCCCCGCCAGGATCCTGGTGGACCTACTGAAGCTGAACGTGGCCCCCCTCGCCGTCTTTCAGATGCTCAAGTCCATGTGTGCCGGGCAGAGGCTGGCGAGCGAGCCCCAGGACCCTTCGGCCTTGTCTCTGCCCACGTCGAGCGTGCCCGAGACCCGAGGTTAGAGCCGGACCTGCTGTCCCTTCCCCGGTGGCGGTGGCGGTGGTGGTGGCGGCAGGCGGGGAGGGGGCAGGCACGGCACAGCAGCAAGCGGTGTGGCCCTGAGTGGCCAGGCCTGTTTGTGGGGTCTTGGTCTAGCACCTGCAGGGCCCATCCGTGGGCTCTGCTCCCGGGCCTCGCTGCTAGCCTTAGCAGGCACGTCCAGGTCAGGTGGACACAGAGTACATGCCCCAGGCTGGTCCAGGCGGGCTAGGGCTCCTCTCAGCTCCCTCCCCACCTCTTCTCTCAGGCCTTCATCCCACAAAGTCGGGAATCAAGACAGTTTGGGGCTGGGCACTGTGGCTCCCGCCTACAATCACAGCCACAACGGGGAGAGGATCATTAGAAGTCGTGAGTTTGAGACCAGTCTGGGTGACAGGGTGAGATCCTATCTCTAAATATATTTTTTAATAGACACTCTCAGTTTCTGTCCTGTCGCATTAAAGCCTCCAGGGAAGTACCCAAGGAGCAGGGCAGGCAGAGGTCTTCCTGCCACCTCCTGCCTGTACCCTTCTTGGGCCCAGTTCTTGTGCAGGGACTTGGACAGCCTGGCCAGCTTTTCTCTGAGGATTGCAGGAAGGGAGTCAGACACAGAACTCCCAGGGTGCAGAGGCCTACAGAGCCTCCTCCCTCTCCAGCGTGGTGACTGGGCTGAGTAGATGCTGGGGCTGAAAGTGTCGTGGTGGAGCCTCAGCCCCTGCTCATCCCCTTGCATGTTGCTCCTGTTTCTGACAGCTCTCTGAAATTCAGCAGAACCTCCCAGGCCAATGGAAGGAGGCCCAGAGCTGGCTCCCTGCCTGGAAGCATGAGGACATCGCACAGGCATCCTGAGAAGGGGTAGAGAGCAGGCTGCCTTCATGGGGGTGTGCCCCAGGGTATGGGCTCCCAGGCCTCCTGCCCCGAGAGGCCCCGGGCACCTGCGTGCTGGCTTTCTCACTGACCCATGCTCTGTCTGCTCTCTTTGTGTCTCTCTCTGACCTCCAGAGGCCTCCTTTCTCTCTGCCAGGAACAGTAGCCCCCCTGGGAGGCCCTCCTTTTCCTCTGGCCTGCAGCCTGCAGCCTCTCCGGTTCTGCTCCACAGCCTGGCTGCCACACACTCGCCTCTCTCTCCAGGCCCCCCAGGTTCCCTCCGCCTCTCTTGCTGCCTGTTCTCTCCTTTTGCAGGTTGCGTTTGTTGGCTTATTTCAGGGGGGGTGGTTGGTGCTCTCCCTTGTTTCCATGGAAACTGCCTGGGGCCAAGAGGCAGCTTTGAGCCGCAAGGGCAGGACCAGGCAGGCCACCGCTGCCCTGCCGCTAAGCAACAGGGCACAGTTTCGGGTTCGGTTTATTAGTGACGTGGTTTGGCAATCTCTAGACCCCACAGTCGGGCTGGCATCGGGGATGGGAGCAACACCCGCACTGTAAAGAGCCCCACTCCAGGAGAGGCCAGCCAGTCGAGGGGTGGTGTGCTGTGCTGGAGAGCACTGCCCAAGGTGTGACAAACACCTCGGCCTCTTGGAATCTGTCCCCTACCCGGACAGGAAGTCTGGGAGCTGAAACAGAGGCTCCTACCTTCCCCCAGTCCCCTGGGCAGCACCACATGGATGTCATGTGCTGGTCCCATGGCCACACTCCAGCACGCAGCCCCCTTGCCCATCTCACTCCTGAGTTGGGGCCACTTCCCAGGCGTCACTAGATGTGATGAGGCTAGGGGGCCCATAGCTAGGGGCCTATGAGAGCCCAGGGGTCTCTGATCGTACCTCCTGCATGCGCCTCCCTACAGCGCCCACATCCCTGCCACCCTGAGCTCAGGCCCAAGGGAGGATGGGGAGGGGCTGACAGACAAGCTGGAGTAGGAGTGCACGGACTGTAGGCTGAGATGAGCAATTGAGGGACAAGTTTCCAGCAGGAGGGAGAAACCGGGAACAGAGGCCTTGTCACTCCAGGGGATGTTGCTGCTCACTCAGGGGCTCTGGGTGCCAGGCCCAGCTCTCAGTGCAGAGGGCGTGGCAGGGAAGTGAGATGGTCACACTCAGTCCAGTGAGAGGCAGTGAGGAAAATCATTAGCAAGGCCGGTGTGTTGGCTCACACCAGCACTTTGGAAAGTCAGGGCAGGTGGATCCCTTGAGCTCAGAAGTTCAGGACCAACCTGGACAACATAGCAAGACCCTTCTCTACAAAAAACACAAAAACTCGCCAGGCAGGCGTGGTGGTGTCTGTCTATATTCCCAGCTACTTGGGAGGCTAAGGTGGGAAGATCGCCTGGGCCTAAGGGGATTGCTGCAGTGAGCCGAGATTAGGTGACTGCACTCCAGCCTGGGTAACAGAGCAAGACCCTGTCTCAAAAAAAAAGAAAAAGAAAAACCGCCAGCAATGGAGATGGGAGGAGGCTTCTGAGCCCAGAGAGCAGCACAGGTTACACGGTGCATGGCAGGAGGGGCCTACAGGGCCCCACACGTGTGAGCTGGGTGGTGGGAGGGGCTGGTGAGGCAGAGTGCTATCCAGGCAGGCCCCGGGGTGGAAGGAAGGTGGTGGAGGGGCACAATCAAGATGTATGTGGGGGTTGTGGCACTGGGATGCAGGAAGAGAGGGGCCAGGAGATCAGGGGGTGCCCTGTGAGCAAACGGGGGCTCCGAGAGAAGTGGGAGGAAGCCCCTAGCACAGGGACAGGTGTGGCCTAGAGTGCTGGGCTCCTCCGGGTCATTTGTTTCTCAAGGCTCTGTCCTGGAAGCATAGCCCAGGCCCGGCCCTGTAGGCTGGGCAGCAGAAGGCCAGGACATGAGGGCACAGAGGCCCCATGGGGATGCAGGAGAACCTGAGGAGGAGGTGGAGGGGAATGGGGCAGACAAGGAGTGTGCTGCTGAGTGAGAGGCAGAGGCCACAGATGGAATTGTGAGAGCTCTGAGGTCCGCATCTTATAGCATCTGACCACATAGAGCTCCAGCTGCCCCGGTAATGGCAGAATCTGGGACAGAGGACATAAGGGGGTTTGTGGGAGTGATGTGGCTAGGGGGCATGGAGGCCATAGATTTCCCTCAGGACTCGCGTGTGGAGTTCTCCAGGCTGTGGGCCAGGCCCATGGGAGCCTGCCTCTGTGAGCTGCAGCAGGTACCCCAGGTCCTCTGGATGCGTGTCCACTGGCCGTCCAGATGGCCTGCAGGGACCACCACCACCAAGCTCACTCATACCCACAGGGAAAGGGAAACAGAAAACCAGAAGCACAGAGGGGCAGTGCTTGTCGTGGGGAGGGTCTGGAGTCACTGAGGGAAAAATAAATTGAGTCCAGCATTTTGTTTAAGTTTAGGGAATCTATACATTTGAAGCGTTGTCCAGAGTATATCAGTTGATGTTTGGAGTGTGGAAGCCGTGAGTCCTACCTGAGCTGTGCTGCCTGATACAGGAACCATGGCTGGCATGGTCATTGCACTGCGTGTGTTATGCACAGCAGATATCAAAAGACTGGTACAGAAGGGAGTGCAACAAAACCACTACACTTTGGGAGGCCAAGGCTGGTGGATCTGTTGAGTACAGCAGTTCAAGACTAGCCAGGGCAACACAGTGAGACCCAGTCTCTACAAAAAATACAAAAATTAGCAGGGCATGGTGGCACACATCTGTAGTTCCATCTACTTGGGAGGCTGAGGTGGGAGGATTGCTTGAGACTGGGAGGTCGAAATTGCAGTGAGCTGTGACTGCACCACTGCACTCCAGCCTGAGTGACAGAGTGAGACTCTGTCTCAAAACAACCCCAGTGTGAATGAGGTTGGGCATCGTGGCTCATACCTGTAATCCTAGCACTTTGGGAGGCTGAGGCAGGAGGATCATTTGAGACAAGGCTGGGCAACATAGGAAGACCCCATCTGTACAAACAAATAGACAAACCAAAAAAAAAAAGGTGAATGCAACATCTTATGAATAACTTATGTACTGATTACATACTGAAATAATACATTGGATATTTTAGATTAAAGTACTTAAGCTTATTATTATTATCATTATTTTTGGAAACAGAGTCTCTGTCACCCAGGCTTGAGTCCAGTGGCACACGAGTAGCTCACTGCAGCCTCAACCCCTTGGGCTCTGGCGATCCTCCCACCTCCTCTTGAGTAGCTGGAACTACGGGTGCACACTACCACACCTGGCTAATTTTTAAATTTTTTGTAGAGATGGAGGTCTCACTATGTTGTCCAAGCTGCTCTCGAGCTCCTGACCTCAAAAGATCCTTCCACCTTGGTCTCCCAAAGTATTGGAATTACAGGCATGAGCCACTGTCCCCTGCTGAGTCAGGCTGTTTTTAATATTCAATGGTCGTTGACTACTTTTGGCACTTAGGAAGGCCCAGCAGGGACCAGGCCCAGGGGCATCAGTCACCCGACCCTCGCACGCCAACCTCTAGCCGCACTTGGTTCAACCCCACTGCCTAGCCCATCTGACTCAGCCCCTCCTAAGGGAGCAGGGCTAAGCAAAGCTGGTTTTCCCACTGCAAGGCGCGGCAGGCCATTCTCTTTTGGCCCTTCTTTTCCTTCATAAAGTAAAGAGGCCTGAACAGGACTCCCCACTCACCCTGAGAGCACGTGATTCGTGAAGATTTCCAGGATTTTCTTACCATCAGGTATGGCTTAAAGTTACGTTGGTTTCATATTTCCAGGGCTTGTCAACCCTGTCAGATTGAAAGATAAGCATTATTAGCCAATTGTGGCCCCGTGCTTGTAGTCCCAGCTACTCCGGAGGCTGAGGCAGAAGGATCCCTTGAGGCCATGAGTTTGAGACAGCAACGAACTGTGATTGCATCACAGCATTTTAGCCCAGGTGATAGAGCAAGAGTCAGTCTCTAAACACCCTCCCCCCAACACACACACACACACAAATCATATGATTATTTGTTCTTTTCTACTTCCCTCTCGTCCTTGTTTCCAGAAGGGACTGGGTCAGTACTGAGGGGAGGAGAGGAAGCTCAGATGGTGCAGACTGAAGGGAAGCTGGCTCTGAGTCAGGCCCAGGTCTGGGGCCTGCTGTGTTGTGTGCTGTGGGGAGCAGGGCCTTAGTTACCCTGAGAGCGCATGGGCTCCTGAGCACCGAGGTTAGGACATGGGTACAGAAGATCTGACTCTGTCTGGTCTGGCCCACAGAGGGACTATGGGCTCAGAGGAGGATGCTGGCCCAGTATGGGAGCTGCTGCAGGGTGGCAGGGCCCGTTTGCTCATAGAAGACAGAATCCTCACCCCAACCAATCAGTGGGGACTAGAATAATCAGTTTGTACCGAAGGAGACACGTGGTGACCGAATGTTCTCTGCTTTGTGCCTTTTTCACAAGTCACTGCTGGGCTGAGGTGGCCAAACATCACCCAACACATGTTCCTGGCTGTGCCCCTCCTTGGCTCAGGGCAGCCCTGACTCCATCTTTGTTGAGTCAAGTGTGCCAAGCTGACAGAGTTCCAAGTGTGACACTGCTGTAACCCTCACCACCCACCAGGCAGGAATGAGCACAGCTCTCATTCTCTGAGGAAGAACTCCAAAACTCATAAGGAGGGCTGCCCTATCCCTGCAGGGCATGGGGAGACTTCGTGGTATTAGCATGGAAAGGGAGCTGGAGGTGCCTCGGGAAGAGCCAGGGTCCACCGCGTCTCAGACACAGGAGTCTTCACTTGTTCAAAGTGACAAATGGTGAAACAGAAATGACCTAAGGGATCCCTAGACACCCGGTTGCATCTTTTCTCCAAGAACGCAGTTTCCCATTGCAGGCTGTTTGCATTTGATAAGAGGCCAGGGAAGGACCAGGATTGAGGTTAGGTGTTCTGATAGCTGGACCTTTGTCTGGAGTCACCCTAAAACTGGTGGCAGGGGAGTTCTCACAACGGACTGCCCCAAACCTTCCCAGGATTGAGCTAGCTAATGCCAGCGTGATTAGTCCAAAGATTTTGTTAGGGAACTTACATATGGAGGGGGCTGCAGTGTGGCCTCATGAGGCACAGCCAGGAAAGAGGTTCTGCCTAGGCACAGCTGCAGTGTGGAGTTAGGAGTTTGGCCCCGGTGGGGCCAGTTTCCACATGCTTAGCAACATGTCAGATCTTTCAGTGTTTCAAACAACAACCTAAACGTGTTTATCAGTGTCTGGGAAGAACAAACCCCAGCCAGGGTTTGAGCCTGCAAGGGGAACATGTAGCTGATGAGGTCAGCGTGGTCGAAGCACTCGGTCAGAAAACAGGAAAAGCTGGGGGGATGAAATGGGTGACCCAACACTGTGAGTCGGGCAGGGGACACATGCCCTGGTTAGAGCCCACAGGGCAGACTCTGCCAGGCCGGAGCAGGGGAGAACCCTGGCCAAGGCACTCCACATGGGAGGCTGTGACCCCACGGGCAAGCCTAATACCCAGGCACGTTTGTCCCTAGAAGGTCCTCTCAGTCAGTCTTGCTGATGCCATCAACACCGTGAGCCCAGGGAAGTCCATCCCATTAAAATAAAGCTCTGGCCCAAGTGTGGTTGCAGATCTTTCTGGGCTATCTTCACGAAAAAGCGTAAAGTAAGCAAATTACAAATCAAAGAAACTGAACCAGTGGTCTTCATCCGAGTGAGACTGGTGGTCAGAAGGAAAGTCTCAAAGCACTCAGACTGTGGCAGTAACCCAGTCATGGAATCTGGCAGCTAAACCCGAGAGCAAGAGGCTTGACCACTATTTGCAGAACACTTGGGTAGGAAGAAAACAATGTAAGAGCTTACAAAATGAAAATCAGCAACCTGATTCTAGGACTTGGTGACTGGAATACTTTCTGCCTGTCACTGCCTAGGGCAGCTCAGATGTATGGTCCAGTGTGAACACACCTGGAGGATGAGGCAGCCGGTCCCTGCTGCTGCTTCCGGCACCATCAGGGCAGACCAGGTTTGCTGCCCAGGCCAGGTGTGGACTGGATGCACTTACCTTCCCTAGATGGACCTGTGGCATGTCCTTTCAAAACGTTCCCTTGGCAGTTTGCTCCTTGCATGGATTCTCTTCTGGGACACATCCAAAAGGATGCCCTGTACACTGCCAAGGGCTTATGGGACACGGCCTGCCTTTATCAGTTCTGAGCCTCAGGACTTGGGGCTGATGCAGGGCCTCTAGCTGAAGTAGCTTTGACAGAAATGTATAAACGCAAACGTTGTTTAAGGAGCACAGGTACAGCAGGTGCTGCAGTTACCGGGCTCACCCATTTCTAATTATTGTGCTTTGTGTCTCCTCAGGGAGAAACAAAGGCAGCACTGCCCTCACAGGAGCACTGGCCCTGGCAGAACACAGCAGCCGCGAAGGATCCAGCCAGAGGATGCCGCGCCAGCCCAGCGCTACCAGGCTGCCCAAGGGGGGTGGGCCTGGGAAGAGCCCTACGCGTGGCAACACCTAGGATGGGGCAGAGACTTACCACAAGACTTTGTCCCCAGCAAAGGCTACATGTTATCTACTTCAGTTGATAATAAACCTTTCTGAGATTCAGAGGGTCCAGGTCAGACATTCTGTACTGTTTTTTGGCAGTATTAAGGCACAGACTTAGAATAAGGTTTCTGTGCCTGTCCTGGTTGTGCCACAGGTGAACTAACCTGGTCCCTTCACCATGAACTTCCTGGACCTGAATTGGATTTTGAGAAAAGGTGTCTGGATTACCAGATCTTCTACAAATAGATGTCAACAAACCACTTGAAATGAAACGTGGGAGGTTTTCTACCAAGAGGATTGAGTGCTGAGGGCAGGGAGGCTGTGTGTGTGCACATGGAGGGCGAGCGCTGCCTTCCAGGTTATCGTGGAGCACTAGGGTCACCATGGGTGTATTGTGACCTTCTGCAAATGCTTTGCAGAACTCAGTTGACACTCCCCCCTTCTAAAATGTCCTGACCTTACACATTTGATCCACAGCTTTAGGGATTTTATGGACAAGCCCCATCCACAGACCTCAAACACTTCTTGTCTCTTTTTAGCCAGCATGACCTGTAAAGAAGCCCAAAAAACTGCAGTCAGTTGAAAACCCTGCTCTCCTAGAATTTAGGAAAACTACACATTGAAAACTTGGCTTTGAAGAAACACTGGTTTCCCTGGGTTAAGTTACTTCTGTGGCAGCTCCTTAAGTATGTACAGTCCTGTTGCACCCAGCCCCACACCAGGGCAGGCTGGCACCCCACCACTCCCCACGCAGGCTCTAGGGTCCCACCCGCTCCTGTAGGCAGCAGTAAGCAGCACAACACACAGAGGTCTTGGTTTTATATAGAACCTTTATTTGCAAACAATTCGAAAGCAGCCATCCTGGGGGTGGCAGGGGAGAACCCACCACACCCTCCCCTCAGTATTCTTCGACTTCTTCAGCCTCAGCCTCCACAGAATCCACGCCCACCTCTTCATAATCCTTCTCCAGAGCTGCCAGGTCCTCGCGGGCCTCGGAGAACTCCCCCTCCTCCATGCCTTCCCCCACGTACCAGTGCACGAAGGCCCGCTTGGCATACATGAGATCAAACTTATGGTCCAGGCGGGCCCAGGCCTCCGCGATGGCCGTGGTGTTGCTCAGCATGCACACAGCCCGCTGTACCTTGGCCAGGTCTCCCCCAGGGACCACCGTGGGGGGCTGGTAGTTAATGCCAACCTGCCAGAGAAGGGGAAGAAAGCAGTCCGTGAAGCTTATATTAAACCTAGAAATGGTAGCTATTTTTCCTCAAACAGAAGACACCCTGTAGGTGACCAGGAGAATGCTCAGCTCGCCTCACCAATGTCACTAAGCCCTTCTCTGCCAGGCAGGGTGATAGTTCCAGACAAATAGAGAGAAAGGAACCTTGGAGGTAGCTACCTTGGCAGGATCCCAGTCTACCTAAAGGCTGTGTCCTAGCAACTGTGACATGTGATAGGTGCCAAGGTGAGAAGTCTTCCCTCTGAAAATGTATGCTGCTTGTCTTCTTTGTAGATTACAATGAAATTCTGTAGCTAAACTTTTTCCACCCAGAGAGATTCAGAGTACAAACTCTTCCCCAAGGTACCATGGGGAATATCATACCCACCAAACAAGCCACTGTTGCTATGCAAAGGCAGCAGATCATAGGTCAACAGTCATATGAATGCTGCTACCACAGTAGCAGGAAACGGTCCATGTGCCTGCTTAAGTAGGGGGTGACATTCCAAGGTGGGGTCCAAAGGGGAAGCATTCCAAGTTTCAGAACTTGGGAATAAGATGACCTGAAGTCCTGGCAGCAGTGCACAGGGTCAACTAGAGCAGGGGTCAACAAACTTGTTCTGTCAATGACAAGATCAGGCCAGGTGTGGTGGCTCAAGCCTGTAACCCCAGCACTTTAGGAGACCGAGATGAGATCACTTGAGGCCAGGAGTTTGAGACCAGCCTGGCCAACATGGCAAAACCTCATCTCTACCAAAAATACAAATATTGGCTGGGCGTGATGGCTCTTACCTGTAATCTAGCACTCTGGGAGGCTGAGGCAGGTGGATCATCTGAGGCCAGGAGTTCAAGACCAGCCTGGCCAACATGGCAAAACCCTGTCTCTACTGAAAATACAAAAATTAGCCAGGCATGGTGGCAGGCACCTGTAATCCCAGCTACTCAAGAGGCCGAGGCAGGAGAATCGCTGGTACCCAAGAGGCGGAGGTTGTAGTAAGAAGAGCTCATGCCACTGCACTCCGACCTAGGTAACAGCGTGAGAATCTGTCTCAAAAAAAAAAGAGAAGATCATATTACAAATTCTAGGCCTTACAGGCCGCATGACTTCTGTCACACCTATCCCACTCTGCTATTGGATAGCAAAATCAGTCCGCAAATGAAGGAGTGTGGTGGCTGCGTTCAGATAAAACCTTACTTAACAAAATTAAGCAGCTAGTGCTAACCCCTGAAAGAGAGGAAGAGAGGCCCAGAGTAGGAAATCCCAGTCACAGCCAAGTACAGTGGTCTCCCCAGAGGCAGTGGGGGTCTAAGCTAGAGGCGGCAGGGAAAGCATAGCACAAGGACGCACATGCCCAACAGAAATGTGACCAGATTTTGTGACCAACTATTGGAAAACCTGAAAGGGGACAGCAAAATTTCTTTTGTGTCACTGGAAGGTGGGGACAGATTTTGTATCTGAGGCAAACCCAGGCCAAAATTACTATGCTTTTCAGGAAAGAAAGATGTTGCTGGGTGTTTTTTTTTCAGACAGGGTCTTGCTCTGTCACACAGACATTGGGGGGATCTCAGTTCACGGCAACCTCTGCCCCTCAGCCTCCTGAGTAGCGAGGACCACTGGAGCACACCACCACACCTGGCTTATTTTTTGTATTTTTGGTAGAGACAGTGTCTCATCCCATTGCTCAGGCTGGTCTCAAACTCCCGAGTTCAAGCAATCTGCCTTGGCCTCCCAAAGAGCAGGAATTACATGTGTGAACTACTGTGCCTGTTGCTGTTTTCATCACAAAGATTCATTCTTTCTTTAAATCAATAATTCATTCATTCTTTCTAAATCAAACACTCCATAAGACAGTGGAGTGAAGGACTTAGTGAAGCAGTTTATAGTAATGCTCAAGTTAAAATAAAATACATACACCATCCACGTGATTCCCCAAAATGCCCATAAAATTCCTACTAAGCTCAACCTACCTTTTCCACATGAATTCTACCACCCAAGAAAGGGGCACAAAAATCCTTCGGAAAATATCTTATAAAAAAAAATAAGCTGTCTCATGCCTGTAATCCTAGCACCTTGGGAGGCTGAGGTGGGTGGATGGCTGGAGCCCAGGAGTTTGAGGCCAGCTGGGCAACAAAGTGAGCCCTGTCTCCACAAAAAATACAAAAATTAGCTGGGTGTGGTGGTGTACACATGTGGTCCCAAGGTACTTCGGAGACTGAGGTGGCAAGATCACCTGAGCCCGGGAGGATGAGGGTATGGCAAGCTGTGATCATGACACTGCACTCCAGTCTGAGTGAGAGTGAGATTCTGTCTCAAAGCGATAAATAAACATGGCCAAGTGTGGTGGCTTGTGTCTATCATCCCAGCACTTTGGAAGGCCAGGGTGGGCGGATCACTTGAAGCCATGAGTTTGAGACCAGCCTGGCCAACATGGCAAAACCCCATCCCTACTAAAAATACAAAAGTTAGCCAGGCATGGTGTGCATGTCTGTGGTCCCAGCTACTTGAGAAGCTGAGGTGAGAGAATTGCTTGAGACTGGGAGGCAGAGGTTGCAGTGAGCCAAGATCACACTACAGTATTCCAACCTGGGGGACAAAGTGAGACCCTGTCTCAAAAAATAAATAAATAAAGCTCGCCACAGGATGTATACTGTGATGACTCAGAGAGTTCAAAAACCATCAATGGGCCAGGTGCTGTGACTCATGCCTGCAATCCCAGCACTCTGGGAGGCTGAGGTGGGTCGATCACCTAATGTCAGGAGTTCCAAGACCAGCCTGGCCAACAGGCAAAACCCCGTCTCTACCAAAAATACAAAAATTATCCAGGCATGGTGGCGCATGCCTGTAATCCCAGCTACTTGACACAGTGAGGCAGAAAAATTGCTTGAACCCAGGAGGTGGAGGTTGCAGTGAGCCAATATCACACCACTGCACTCCAGCCCAGGCAACAGAGCGAGATTCTGTCTCAAAAAAAAGACATCACTGAATCAATGATTACTCTGGTTTACTAATTTATGCCCGTGTGCCTAGCCCATGAAGTGGGTATGGTCTCCCCAAAGGATGCGGACCTGAAAGGGCAGCGTTATTCTGTGCATCTGCTGCTTGCTGAAAGGACTCTACATTACCCAGTCATACCTTAAATCCAGTCGGGCACCAATCCACAAACTGGATGGTGCGCTTGGTCTTGATGGTGGCGATGGCTGCATTGACATCTTTTGGGACCACGTCCCCCCTGTACAACATGCAGCAGGCCATGTATTTGCCATGGCGAGGGTCACACTTGACCATCTGATTGGCTGGCTCGAAGCAAGCATTGGTGATCTCGGCCACAGACAGCTGCTCGTGGTAGGCCTTCTCGGCTGAGATGACCGGGGCATAGGTGGCCAGGGGGAAATGGATGCGAGGGTAAGGCACTAGGTTGGTCTGGAATTCTGTCAAGTCCACAGTTCAGGGCCCCATCGAACCGCAGGGAGGCCGTGATAGAGGACACAATCTGCCCAATCAGACGATTGAGGCTGGTGTATGTGGGACGCTCGATGTCCAGGTTGCGCCGACATATGTCATAGATGGCTTCATTGTCGACCATGAAGGCACAGTCAGAATGTTCCAGGGTCGTGTGGGTGGTCAGGATGGAGTTGTAGGGCTCCACCACGGCTGTGGAGATGTGGGGGGCTGGGTAAATGGCAAACTCTAGCTTGGACTTCTTGCCGTAATCCACTGAGAGCCGCTCCATGAGCAGAGATGCGAACCCAGATCCAGTGCCGCCCCCAAAGCTGTGAAGATGAGGAAGCCCTGCAGTCCCTGTGCACAGATCCGCCTGAAGGAAACCACACAACGTGAGTCAAT